CAGTGGGGCTTAATCGGGTGCACATCTTATGGAACCACTTATTACACTCATCACATTGCATCCCTTCATCCACGGGAAATAAGCAGTATGGTTGTCCACATTTATGAGTAGACTTAGCCATCGTGAAAATCAACTAGAATGGTGATAAAAAACAGGATATGTAAAGGGATTTTCAAACCTCAACTAAATAAACCAAGTAAAAGTCGACCAAGTATGCTTCGATGCAATAAATACACAGAAGCAAAATCGAAAAACTCAATACAATATCACTTTAACTGGGGTAGATGCAATTAAAGTGTAAACAGTAGTTTTGATGAGTAGTTTACGATCAAAACAGTTAATTAACTCAACGAGAAAGAATACCACTGTCCTTTTAAAAATCATGTGATGTCAGTCTGACTGTAAAAAGTTAAGGTCTACAACGTAGTTTTGTTCTAAGCTTGTGAAACATGGCTCCTCCGTGTTGAGGATGTTGGAGAACTCTATGCGTTTGATAATCGCTGTCTCCGAAGGATTGTTGACATCTAGTGGCAACACCATGTTAGCAATGAAGAATGTTCACCAAAAAGTGTTCGGACACAGTGACAACAATTTGACAGGTGTCTTTATCTCGAAACATTGACGTTGGTGGCTTGAACTTGTTTTACAAATGTTGTCTCAGAGAATTCCACATCGTGCATTATTTGCCGACGATGGGACTGGTTGGGAACAGTGGAGAGGCGGTCAGTGTATGAGATGATGTCGTGGTACGAAAGAAGGCTTTGTGGAACCGACATTTGTTGGTCCGTGGTGGGAGTCCTAGAGATGGTGCAACACAGTGGCTTGAGACATTATCAAACATGGTTCAGAATAGAAGCCAGTGGCGATGCTGCTGTAATTTTCTTTTGTTTTCTTGAAACAATAGGAGAAACTTCTTTAAGTGTAAGAATTCTTTCTGGTCGTATTTTTGCTAACTGCACTGCTCCTCTCACCGTCAATACTATTATTCTTTTTAAATATACTCATCTTCTTTTCTCTATCTCTTCACAACCTCATTTTTACTGTATGGTGCATTTGGTGTATGGTGTATTTACTGCTTCTTAGTGCTGAGGACTATGTGTTTAAATAAATATTAGCATCTAGTACCTGAAAATATTGCACATATCATTATCGAAATTATTTCGAGACCTTTAGCAAATGCAGTATCTGGAATGGAGGTGAACTTAAATAAGGAGATGGCAGTTCAACATCTACTTACTAGTAACCTCACCTCGACATCTAGGCATGGGTTTTTGAGATTCAAGTCATGCAATACATGCCTGCTGGGCTACCTAAATATTGCTACTTTAAAATGAGACGACGGATTCTTTCTAGATTTTAAGAAATCTGTTGAGTAGGTTTCATAAAACAAAATTCTCACCACGTTAAAGTCCTTCAGAATCAATAGTACAACAAATCCACGCTTTGCCTCATATTTAATAGAACGTAAACAAATGGCATAGTACAATATCTCCCTCATCGCAGAGACAAATAACCAATGGATTTGTTCAAGTAAGTATATTAAGTCCACCCTTGTTTCTTATGTGTATAAACGATAAATGTAAAATCATAAAATTTGGGAGATCATACTTATATCCTGACGATCTTAAAATAGTATGCAACTTTAAGCCTGAAGAATAAAGTAAAATTATATCACAGATTTGAAATGACCCTAGTAACCGATCTCTCTGGGGTGAAAATTGGCAGTTACCGCTTAACCAGAACAATTGTGAAATCATTCATTTTGAGAACCATACCCATGAACTACTACGTTACCTGAATAAATGCAGAGTTTAGACACCTAAATCAGTTCACGATCTAGGTACTTATTACACAAGAAGCCTAAAATTTGAAGAGCATTCCTCTTTTATTATTTCGAAATTTGACACCTGGTAGGTTCCATAACTAAGTGTTTCTTCACAATGGAGGCCAAGTCTAACTTTTATAAAATATGTAACCGACATTTCCTCTTTTATCTTCTCAGACGTGAATATCACAGACAAGATACAATTAGATGTCCGAAAAAGCTTCATACGTTGACTGATAGGATGTGACTCCACTCTCAACTACGTATATAGATGTAAGTACCTCTTCATAGAATATTTATGGCGCCATAGGCTAAGAAACAATCTAATATTTTACTACAAAGTAGTATACAGTCTTTCATTTCTAACATCCCGACCAAGTATGACCCATGACCTTACCTTCGAACTCAAAGACAACATATATGAATTGATAACTGCAAACACGAAACATAAATGTGTTGTGTTTTGCAGTGTGATATAGTTAGTTGTGGGACAGGTTGCCAAATCCTATCCATAACTGATGCACTGTTACCAAAATCAAAAGTGATTAATCAACTATTCGATGAACTCCCATTCAACTTAAAGGCACTATTTTGTGGACCACCTAATATCTACGCCGATCGTGAACATGTTGGACAAACTCGGTGTCATTGATCGATTACCTCGTGGACAAACGCAACGAGTTCAAAGCAAATCAAATGTTCATATTCTACGCACATATGGTTCGTCTTCTTAAATTCCAGTATTACCTTTTTAGTATTAAATCGAGAAGTTCACTTATTGGTAGCAATGGCTTAGTTTCTCTATATGTTTAGCGTTTGACCTCAGATATATGGTCTTCCATAATTTTTCTTTCCAAAGTTTCCTCATTCCCTCTGCACACATTCGCCATGCTTTTGTGCGGGGAATGACGTCTGCACATATCGTTTTAGTTGACGTTTCACTGACTAAACGTCGTTGTTCATGTTGTTGTCCAGTGCCGGTACGTGGACAGTGAAAGCTGAGACCAGGACAGCCTTTTGACTGAGCCAAAACTGACTCAGATGCTGTACTAAACTTCTACTCTTTTGGCTGATAATCCCAAAACATTTATCAAGTTCAAAAAGTATCTGAACTGTAAGCATTATCATTCAACTATTTCAATGCTTACTAATTAGCAATAATAAACCTTTAAAAAACTATATTGTGTTCAAGTGTCATGTTGTTAGTCTGCATTCACTTGTCTTTTTATTGAAAGCATCGGAAACATGAAATCCACATAGAATTATGTTAGCTTACCGATGAGCGATTGGGACTGCTGTAATTTCAACTTCCATAAAGTCTTTGATAAACGTTTCTTTCCTTGATTAATCGCTCACTGTTTCCGTGAACCGACCTAACACCCATCTAACGGACTTTTTCGGTTCGTGTCCATGAAAACAAAACCGGATGACTGAGGTCGAAGTTATCAGTTATCACTGGTTGAAACAATGAATATCTACGCGTTAAAATTTATCAAATAACATCCCCACTTAGCTATTGAAAGCAACAACCGAAACTCTGAACACTGTTCATTATTGCAGTATGACCATAAAAGACAAATCAAATTCTTATAACGGATCCGTCTTCCGGAGACAACTTAGTCCATCTATTCGTCTTAGCAGATTGGTGAATCTCAGTCGCGTGCTGAAGCCTGAAAATATAATCGTACACTTTTATTGTCTTCATATCAATTATGGTGACATCATCACCAGTTCGTTCCCTAAGATATTTGATCGAAACGGATCACAAATCATCCACAAAAATTCACAAGGATCGTTATTCATTATCCGGTCTGATTTCATTGTTTACTTATCCTGTTTCAGAATCATGAGAAATGTCGAATGACCGCTTAGAGACTTAAGCCTAGGATGTTAATTTAGACTTTCAGTCCTAACAGTTTAGTAACTGCTCGTAAATCATGCAGCTTACATTTTCAGCCAAATAGACGACAAACATATTCCTGAATCTAGTGTCATTGAAGATGTAACTTCCTATATGTAAATACTGAGTATGAGCAGTCTGAAACACAAGATTATGTTTCCCCTATTTGCTGGAATTTATTCAACGGTGTTACGAACCTCGTCTGGCTCACGGACGGTTTAGTGATCGTGATAGACCCAAACGCATCATTAAGGTGTATTCCCCAACACAAGAAGCAAGAGAAATGGCAGTGCATAAATATGGAACACAATGTAAAGTGGATTCTTGGGAAACAACTTCATTAATTACAGTGCAGAAGGTACTACTAATATAATTGGAAGACGGCTCCAGTTACAAACTCACCGATTGTAAGACATCTCTTAAACCACGTAAAGATCGATGAGTTACACAGATTATCAATCCCTAGAACCATGCATGGTTATTTCCATTCATATTGTCTTCTTACTCGGATACAATAGATTTGCTTACAAGACCATTCATTCTGTGGCCTTCAAAAACTGACACAAGGCAGCGATTAAGATAAGGTTTACATTAAAAAAAAGACAAAAGAAATGGTTTGTGCTGTTAGCGCGACTTTCGTGCACTTCACACATAAAAAGCTACGTAAACATGCGAACGCGTGAAAACCATGCTGACCTACACGCTCTCAACCGAAGCCAAGCCTTTCGAATATGGAATGCGTCAGGTTGTTCCAGGTCCAGGAAATTAAAGCACAGTTGGGTTTGAAATTGGTTTACTTTTTCATCGTGTCGATCGCCTTCGGATTCATTGTCCCATGCATCCTTTACAATGACTGATCAGTTAATCTCATATGCTTTTTCACATATTGTTAATCTTCTAATTGTATCGTTAAACGCTTCCGCAATGCGGACTTCTGGTTTGACTGGGTTTAAGGTCCTCGATTATGACTGTGTTACAGATAACGGCCCTGCCAAGCGCTGAATATCCATGAAATCTTTTGTTTCTACTCCTCAGAAGAAATGTAAATCTCTTGAAAGACGTCTGCAGGCTTGCAGCTAAGTGGACCAAAGGACTAAGAAACAAATTGTACCTGATTAGAAAAATGTGAAGTTAAGAACCTGGGTATCTACCAGTAGATATCGGTGATCTGTTACTACTAAATACAGAAGTTCAAGCTTTGAATTAGCTGAATAACTTGATGTGTGTGATATCAAAAATCCACCAAATTGTCATCATTAAAGTGAGCTGTATGTTAAACTTAGTGACCTAAGTTTGTAAGGCGGCCTGTACAAACTTGCTGTTCTTGTGATTAGAACATATTCAGGAGCCTGATGTACGGTTTGTTTTTTCAGGAGTTTTCCCATTAAAGTATTGGAGTCTTTTGTGGTAACAGTCAAAAAATGTTTCTAGACTTGCGTCTTAGAGTAAGTGGAGTTTGACTGAAGGATGTACTCAAAAGTGAAACGCTTGCAAATTCTAGGTTTCACAGAATTCCCCTTCCTAACCAATGCAAGGTTATCCTAAACTAGTATGACACGTTTTTTGGTTAGGAATCTGGTAAGTAGTAGGAGACGCCGAAGCATGATAATTTTGGTTTGCTTGCATGTATGTCTGCCGGGCTTAAGCTGTCCAAGTCTGTTAGCGTCATATGAATCCATTGACTATGACACCGATTATTATATTGCATGATAGAAATTCTTCGTTACTACCTGGTCACCATTTGATTCAGTCAAGTGTTTTTTTGAAGTGGCTTGCACAGGTTTATGTTTAACTTACTAGTCTTTATTATTGTTATTATTAATATTATTAGTTATTATTATTATTATTATTATTATTATTATTATTATTATTATTATTTGAACACATAGATGTTGGCACAATAGAACTTATTGTAAAACAAATTGATTGTAGGGTTTATTGTTTAAATTTCCTGGTTTTTAAGGCTCGTATCTGGTCAAAACGCCTCAATTATTCGTTTTCTTTCTATATTATCTGTCTTCAAATATTTTCAGCCGCTTTTTCTTTCCCCCTTCCATTTTCCAAATATGCCTTTTAGCTTACAATAAGAGTTCCCTTACCAAAACTACCTTTCATATATTAAGAGTTGAGTACATTGCATGTGTGACTTTTGACCTGTTCATTCCCTTGAATTTCTAGAATCTGTTTAAATCACTAAGTTGTCGTTCCAAACATTTGTCATCTTTGAATAATGGCCACCGTGTCTAAACACAAGAAAGTGAGGATCATGAAACAGAAGTTAAAACTTTTTCGAGCCAATGAACCATTAAAAAGTGTACTGATGTGGGGCATAAATTATTCGTTTTCCGCTCTAAATCATGTGAAGCAACGTGCACTGTTATTAAAAGACGATTTCAAAGCATATATGAAAGTGAAGGTTAATAACCACCATTTTAACAAGTAAGTTTTCTTGTATTCATGGTGGACTTATGCTGACGAATGTGATTCTAGGGAGAATATGCCTAGTAAATTCAAGTTTAAGGAGTACTGCCCAATGGTGTTCAAGTCACTACGAGATCGATTTGGAGTTGACAAGATGGATTATTGGGTAGGTGGTTTGGAGCTGATTATGTGTTGATGGTAATATCTCCTCCTTTTTACATGTGAATGGTGCTAGAGATTCATAACTTGCACATACTGAGTTTTGTCTAGTATTTAATTGTTATGAAATTACATTTTGTTTGTGATGAGTTTGGTGGACAACTTTGATTGGTAGTCTGTAATAAATCTTGCACGTGAAGAGTCCAAACGCCATTATTCTCACCTTATTGATTTCACCTTTTAAGTTTTAAGTTCTGACTTTTTAAAGTAATATGCTATTGTCAGTCATTTCTCTGTAAATATACCTATGCGATAGTGGATTTGTGGTTGTGCTAAGTTAATTGAAGTGTCTGACTGCTAAGTTGTAAGTTCAGACCACACACCATCTACTCTAGTTTACATAGTCATTCAGTATTTGGATCGCCCAGACAATATTTATTTATTTATTATTTTGAACACATAATTATTGCTATAAAGGGCACCAGATACATATGCTCCACACAATAACAATGAGAATGGGAAGAGATAAAGTATGTAAGGTGCGTGTAAAAAGAAAAAAACAATAACGACCACATATTAGTGTATGATAGTGAAATAACAATAATGATGGGAGAAACAGAAAGGTACAACCAGAAGAAATCTTTTAGTTAAGGAAGTCACAACCACTTTTTATGAAGAAAGTAAAAGAAGGTTACAGCAGGATCGCCACTGGCTTCTATTCTGAGCCATATATGATAACGTCTTTAGCTACTGTGTTGCACCATCTCTCGGACCCCAGCTAGGGAGTCGAGAAGGACCAACAGACGCCAGCCTTTTGTAGCTTTCTTTCATATCACGACACCATGTCATACACTGATCACCTCTGCGCTTTTTCCGACCAGTTTCCACGTCGAAAAATAATGCACGGCGTAGAATTCTTTGGGACGACATTTGTAGAACATGTCCAAGCTACCGAAGCTGATGTTTCAAGATGGTGACACCAATTGCATTATCGTCTCTGTGCTCGAACACACGATGCCGAACCTCTGCATTACTGACATGGTGTTGCCACTGGATGTCAGCAATCCTTCGGAGACAACGATGATCAAACACAGAGTCGTCTCACATCTTCAACTCAGAGAGGCCAGGTTTCACAAGCATAGAGCAGAACTGCTCTCACCGACGCGTTGTGGATCCGACCTGTTACAGCCAGACTGACATCACAGAGGCTTCGAAGATGGCCCAGATTGTCAAAAGCCTCTCTGGCTTTCACTACACGTGTATTGATCTCATCACTCACGTCACCATCAGCACTTATGCAGCTGCCTAGATACACAAACTTTTCGACTACTTCTATTTCCCCACCAGCCAGGGTGAGTACAGGATTAGAATCCTGACCGTCAGTCGGACAATAAACTGCACTCGATTTTGAGAACACGTCCATGAGTTGCATTATTAGTTGTGTGAGTGTGTGGATGAACTTTTATGATCGAAATGGATTTATAATGATCTAAAGAGGCAATACTTGCAACAATTAAACAGTTGCCTTATTATCCTTTCTCCAACAACATGACTGCAAATATGTAGTTGTCAGTGCTTAATATTGTTCACATGTTTTCAAATGTCATGTCTATTCTCTAGCTTTTACTTTTATTGAGTAAATGTTGTGTGTTTCTATCAACCAACAGTACAACATATGATGTGTTTTAAAATTATCTTGTACCGTTTTCCATCCTAGCTCTTTTGTATAATTCGTATTATTTGGTGATATCGATGTAGAATTGATTGATTGGTTGTGTCCAACATTGAATTAACTGGGTTCAACATCATAAAACTATTGTTGTTAGATTGTAAAGGAAATTAGTGGTTCGTTTGGTGTTTGTTGACTGAGTGCTAATTATACATGAATACTTGCCCTCGACAATAAAGACACAATGAACAGTAATTGAACCTGGATTGGTGAGAGTGATATGATTTGTTACTTAATATATTCTGACAATTGGTAGCCTTTTAAATGGGAGCTACATTACGCGTTGATGAAGCATTTAATGAAAGAGGCCAGAATGTCAACTAGTGTTCGTCGGTTTATATGTTAACTGTACTGGGTGTGTATTCAGATACTCAATGGTGTAAGTAGGTCGTTGTATCAAGTGATCGCTGCATAGAGTGTAGTTAGGAGACTGTTCTCATTGTTTAGCATTTAGTTGTGCACTATGTAGTGCAAGATGAATGTCAACCAAACTAGAGCATTGTAAGTATCCACTTTTAGATGGAATAGTGTTGACGAATCCAGAGTTCCATAACACTGTATTTACTGCAGGCGTCGAATATGTCGATTCCTATTCAGAGCGACCAATTCTCCACTGGTCATCACGAACAGTGCTCATGAATAGATTGCATTTGGTTATTTGTCATTAGTATACAGAGTTCTTCTACTTCTGATTTGTACTTCAGGACTCTTTCACCAGACACCAACCATTGTGGGATAGTACACGTGAAAAATCTGGATCGAAATTTCTAGTCACATATAACCGACAATTTGTGGCCAAAACAATCAGTTCAGAAGAAGTTGAACAAATGCATCAAATGTTAGAAGAATATTATTCTGTAAGTGTTTTCTATACTAACTGGAGAGTGGATTATTTGGTTGGTATTTAATCTGATACAACAGTGAAGCACTGGTTTTGATCGTCGGATGTTACTATGTTGGGATGTAATAGTGCATCCAGTTAAAAGTTGAACAAACTCCTGTTGGCAAAATTAATGTTTGAGTGTGTGTTATCATCAATTTTTATTATGAGTGATTTGTGATGATCTGTAGAAGTCAGTTAACTAGTAGTTAGGCGATAGGAAGTCAGTGTTACGTTATGTGATAGAAACCAATAATTACTGACTGATTGGTGTAAGTTTTCAACATATTCTCTTACTTTCGATCTACTTAACATGAGCACGTTCATTTTGGAAGATTTACAAAATGCATCGACTAGTTACTTATTGAGCTGACTAAGTATTATAGACTGTCCGCCAAACGATTCAACTACGTGATGATCATCCGTTAGATTCTTGCAGATGGAGATTATTGTACAATTTTATTTGTAAATGATTGACCATGAATATTATTATCTAGTTACATTTCCGTTATTCCAATGTTTACAGTGTCATGAGATGATCGGATCCTTCCTTGTCCTAGTATTTCTCACCTACATTGGTGCATTATCCTTTTACCATATTTTAGTGGTTACAGAAGTTGTTCTGAAAGCAAACTTCAGGTGTTCACATTTTACAACAGATGTGCAGAGAATGCCTATTACAGATAGCTTAGAAACTCTTTGAGCTTATATTAATTGTGTTGTGTGTGACAATTGCTAGTGTTGCTTAAGCGAATATGTATTTATAGTCAACTATTGTTTTTTGATGATGAAGGTAAGTAGTGAAGCATTTGTTCGATTCATTTGTCCAACTGATTTGATTGTTTCCTTGAAGTAAGTTGGTGCAGTGTAGCAAGATGAGGTTTGTAGACATTTAGAAGACGAATTCGATTAAAGTGTGATTTTATTTGTCTTATCAATCGATCACAGTGATGAATGTTTTAATTGGAAGTGGTTGTCTGTACTTGCAGAAACTAGGGGAAATGTAAGTTGTTGAAGGTGCTTTAATTAATTATTTATTTGAACACTTAAATATTGGTACAAAGAGGCTTGATTTACGTGTGGGCTGTGATACTGCCCGTGTGTCCAAACTGAAGCAAGTGGTTTTCTTAGGGTACCACACCTAGAGCCTTCGACCTAAATGTCTGATCCACAAGGCGGTGAAGCGACCTAAGGAGATGCAGTGCCATGGTAGCCGGTGACCAACAATAGGTTCACACGTCATTTGTTCCATCAGGATCTTGTATCCCATGTGCACTATTGGTTTGGAATGAGGGTTTTCCAACTTCCCTCAGGTGGACTCTCTGTGTCCACCAGCCTTGTTAAGGTGCCAGACATTCGCTTTTCATCCTCTCGACTTATTAAATAACACCCGCGCCACGAGAAGGCAGTGAGTATGACTTCCTTGGTAGTGGTTGTATGCACGTTGCCATGTGAGAGCATTGTGAGAGGTATAGCTAACTCTTCCTACCGTCGGCCGTACCAGGGCGTTTTGGTGCTTATGATTGTACTTATCCCAATTCTAGATAATCTACTAATCGTATTGACGGAGAGGTCAAACATTTAACAAGCGAGTCAGTTATTCAGTTATACAGAACGTATAAGCTGACACACATGCGCATTTGTTTGAGTCGTTACACTCGGAGTGAAACATTTCCATATTTACCTCCTAGAGCTGTCGGTGTAGTTTAATTTGATGAGTAAATTAACGGTACATAATGTTGAATAGGTAGAATGGTTTGTTAGATTCATGAGTTAGATTTTGTTTTCATGACGTAATCATAAGCTCTTGTGTCATGTGCATTGTTGTATCTGACGCAATGTAAAAGGCTGTCAGTAAATGTTGCTCGTAATTCATCACAAAACGCTACTGTTATTTGGTTGTAGCAACCAGATTGTTCCACTGTGTATCGAATAGAAACTTGCTTTTGCAGTAATGTCAGAATGTCGAACAATTAAATGTTGAACTGGTGTTGCTCTCAGTGTAGTTCGAATTTCGATTATCGTTTGTTATTGACATGCCGCCTGATTGATTGTTATCCTTTAGTGTGTCTCTCTTTCTTGTAGTACATTGTCAAAGGACACGGTCAAACACTGCTTCCTCAATTTCTTGGACTTTATCGACTTACAGTGAATGATCAAGAGTCGTATATCTTAGTAATGAGGAATGTGTTCAGCCCAAGACTTGCGATTCACAAGAAATATGATTTGAAGGTAACGATCTGTTGCTTAATAGTTAGTTGTGGTTGATTTTGTGTGTATGAATTTTTTAAATGTGAATGAGTAAGTTCGACATAGTGACTTTTGAGGATGGATGTATGACTTTGTGTAGTTTACTCTAATAGGTGCAGAGTTATTTGTCTTTGTGTGCTTTCCACATTTTCACCTGTAGAATATTCTGTATTCAAGTCATCATGTGAAACGTTCTGTAAGTATTCATTCCTTCGTCGCTCATGGGTCGACTGAATTGTCGAGTTCCAAGATCAACATTGACAATCCTGTGACAGTTTTAGACAAGGAGCGTAAACGTCGTCTACGGATTAAAAAGCATTCGTTTCAAAGTACCACAGGTGTACGTCATGTTATTGTAACTTTACACATGCATCAACCTACTCACGATTTGATTAATCTCCTTTCTAATACCCTGATGGTGTGAAGTGTGTTGCTCACTTATGCTTAGCTTTCTATTGCTACTCACACTGAACTAACCAAAATCCTTATGTATGCGTTCGACTGATTGCGTTCGTGTTTGTGATTGGGTGTGTAGCGGAATAGGAAAAGCAGTTTAGTTGTCAGTGTTTTGTAGATTCAGAAGTTATCCCTCACATACACTTGAGATTCTTCAGTGTGTTTGGCATAGTGAATAACGTATCAGTTACTGACCACTAACATTTTTTTTAGTGAGCGTATTTATTTTCCTTGTGATTGTTACACAGGACAACGATGAAATGTTGACACCCCTAACGCTTTCTTTTCTATTTGTGCACACTTACAATGTTTCAGGAGTGTTTTATGATTCTGTTAACGCCTAACAAGTGGTTGTTTGTGTTCGTTTATTTTATTTGGTGAGTATACCAGTCATACATAGAGGGGCGAATAAAGTAGGCAACTAACAGACTAACCAATGGATTGACTGACTAGACAAATAAGCTAGATAGGTTGTAAATAAGTTAGAAATTGTCAAGTGACAAAACAGCATAAATCCTGTTATGTTTTCGAACCCCTATTTCCTAGTTAATTGTGTAATTCTAACTTTATCATGTAAGTAATTGAGAACTCTGAGTGTTTGTGTGCCTGTTCACTTATTACTGGTGATAAAGTCTGTTGAGTTAATGAGTATAATTTCTATATAATACGATATAAAATTGCGATATTACTGATGAGACAATGTGTAGGTGGAGATTGGAGTGTTTTTCAAATCAAGTGTTGTAGAGCTCATAGATGCCAGTTTGAAGATACGTAAATCTAGTGACAAGTATTTTCCATTATTTGTATATATTCACATATTGAACAGTTATCAGTCGATAAAGAACAGGCGTAGAATATAATGATAAAATAATCATGTTTTTGTGATGTTCGTTAAACACTAGTTCAATCATGAAATCCTTCAATCTATGTTTGAATTCAACTCTGTTGACTTTCAGTGGGACTTTAAATAAACAAACAAGTGGAGTGTCCATAGGATCTTCAGTATCTTGGATTGTTGCTAATTTATTTATGTTCCATATTTAGTCGGTTAGTTTTGCCGTTACCATCAGACCACGCATCAGGCTCAGACATATAGATGACACATTTGTCGTCATTGAGAATTCCCCTGAGAAATTTCTTTGAACTGATAAATATGTTCTCAGCAAACATCAAATTTACATTCTAAAAGGAAGATGAACATAGCAAAATACTGTTCTCAGACTGTTTGGTTAAAAGAAATCCTAGTGGAAATCTAAATCTAACTATATACATGAAGGGCGAGATGAAGGGAAAAGACAACATAATCAACATCTTACGATCTGATAATTGTTCTATAAATACTATTAAAAACATATTAAAACGAAATTATCCATATGTAAATGACCGTTTTAATGGAAGATTTTTTATTGGTACTGTGGATTTGCCTTATCGCCAAGGTGCGATTGGAGAATTACGAATGATCTTGAAAACACAGAATCGAAGCTTTCTATGAAGAAAAAACAACAATCAATACTCCACAAAACTCTTAAATCGGAATGAAAGATGAGATCTCGTTTATATCTAGACAAGATCGTGTGTACAGATTGTGTTGTGTTGACATGATGCGTTCTATATCGGAGAGTCTTCTTGTGGGATCTTAACTCTTATCAAGGAACAGCTAAGCCACACAAAAGACATAATAGTCCCGTAGGGATAAAGAACGTGGAAATTATATCGTGAATAGCAGTACATGTTATTCCTAGTAATCACCAAATCGATATATTGAAAATGTCAAAATAATGTAGAAAGGTTTTTCGAGATAGAGAGAGGAGAGCAGTTGAAACACTGGATATGATGCTAAGTCCCTCTTCTCTCAATAGGAAGAGAGGTTTGACCATGCATCCAGCCTGGAATGTTTCTCCAAACAACCACATTTAACTCTATACATTTTCAACATCATCTACAGACATACAGCTGAAATACTAACTCTACTCCTTCATAGTACAAATTACACATTTTATATACCCACCATCATACACATAAATAAACACAGTGTTGTCACATACGGAATCACCTTGACTAAGTGTGTTGCTGTTTCTAAATATTTAACACTTGACACTTCAAACCACTTTTTGGCTGCAAGCCTAGCTGACCGAGTTGTGAAAAGTGATCGCAGTCGCGAAGATATTAAACATTGGTTAAACTTGTGTGCAACGGGTTTTCTGTTCAGCATTCAACCATTAGATCTGAATTATAAATCCTGTCCCACGTTGGCTGTGCTATCCAGATGTTAGTTTTACTGTCATACAGTGAGTTTGACTTCGAGGCAAACATACAGACAGACACGTTGTACCCGTTAGAGGTGCATTGGACTCATTGTTGAAACAACTTTCATATTTCCATATGGTTTGCTTATTAGAATATTCTGGCAAACAGTCACAGATGCGTTTTAAATAGAGACCTATCAATAGCATTTTCACACGGTTACCGTCCTTGTGTAGATAATTCTGCTTTTGGTGAAAACTTTGAAGTAATAATTAGTTTTGAGATAGTGGAGAAGATTTGTAGCTCAGGTGGATGATTTTGATGGAGTTTTTTCTCTGAAATTTGTGCTGATGATGTCGTTCAGAAGAACGATGAAAGCTCCACGACCAAACCATCCAGCTCAGAGAACAAAACTCCATCAAAATAATTAGTTGGATTCGTATGTAACTTCTCATGAACGTAGGTGCTAACTACTGTTTTGTCTCTGTAGTTGTTATAGCCCAAAGCCGCCAATCAGAAGCAGCGAACTGTCGATCGGATCAAGGACGCGTAAAGCACGCGCGAGCAGCCTAGAGTTCAGATCGTTCCTACTTTCTGCCTAGCTCAGCCAGTTAAGTCCAGAACGCCAATCTCAGCCTCTGCAATATGAATTATGTATTTCAAACATACTCTGTTTATATACCGGTCAAGCAGACCACATCGTACGATAAAAATATACGTATAGTATTGATCCACAAATAGATCCCAAAAACTCACTCATTATTCTTTTTGGGACACAACAGTAATGGTAATCATTCACCTGTCTCGACCATTATTTTCGGACTGTACTCATCATCTAACGTGTGTCGTTTTGCCTAGTGTTACCCGGAAACGTGTTGAGTTAATCGTCCATACACTGTATCCTTATCCTCGTAATTAGGGTTCAGCTGTGGATCGTGAAGCCAACGAAAAGGAGAAGGTGAGCTCACATCATTTTCTTTCCCCTCGTCATTATCATCGTTGTGTTCGTGATCTTTTTCATTGTGATATCAGTCAATCTCCGTGTTTGCGTGGAATGTGTTTGTGCATTTGTTTTCAGTGTGTTAGGCAGATATGTGATTACTTGCTTTCTCTGTTGTTATGTGGTTATCAGCACGAGACATCTGAAACACACGTCTACGCGTTGTAGTTGAATGTTTGCTGTGATAAACTTCTAGACATGGTGTCATGAAAACATTTTGTTTTTATCTATTCTACCCGGTAAGTATAGTGTACACATAGTTGTGGTGGTGGTTGGTTTGATCGATATGCTATGCTACCAAGTACCATATCTTATGGATTTCAAGTATTAAATAATACTTGGACAACTTGTGTATGAGTAGTAGTTGGTAAATTTGTATTATGATAACTACCTCAGGAAATAATGCTTTCTTAAGTGTTGAGGGTGTCTCATTCGCTTAGCGCTATAAACCTAACCACACAACTACTTACTCACACTCCAACCAAAAGCCGATCAGAAACACTGTTTAGACGTGAGCAAACTATATATAATGACGAATACAGAGACTATGAAATGTGTTTATTGCAGTACGGATGTTTCTGTCTGACTGTCTATAATCGTCAATTAATTGCCATTCACCTTCTCCAATACCATGTAGTTGTACAATTTGAAATTATGCATTATCAGATTATATTGTTAAATGTATGTGAGAAAATGTTTCTTGGCATGTGACATTACTTTGCATGTTATAGGTTTTGAAGTTTTATTCAGCAAGAAAATAGCTTATGATGTCGGAGCCTGTGTCTGACAGAGTTTAGTGCTGTACAATGAAGAGATTGTATGTGATTCCTATTTGCAGACTGCTCGAAGTCTACTGACTGAATGTTTGGTTAAAGATTGTTAGAGGAGTTGTTATCAATAGCTTTTCTATTATCACGTGTCATTCTCGGGACTGAATGTAAGGTAGTCATTTTCTGAACTAAAATTGACCTTATAGAAGAGGAGGTTTTATCTATAGGCTGCATGGTTTTGTGGATTATTTCTAAGATGAAGACATTGAGCAATGAAATGATGATGTAAGATGTCTACGGTCTGTTGCGTAGTTAGTCTCTAGTGTTTGCTGTATAGTCGGTACATTCTAGAATTATTGATTGCGTAGTACTAGGTCTTAATCATATCGACCAATGACAATTGAATATATAATAACTAAAATTAGTATGATGTGAAATGAGTTTGTACAGATAGAATAATTTCTATGAATGTGTTTATATGTATATGTGGCTTTGTTAAGGACATGAAACATTCCTTCGAATTGTTACAGAGTTTAAAATTCATAATGTTCTATAATTGTTGCATGGTTAATGTCATAAGTCCACATACAAGTATAGATTTATGCGTAGGAAATAAAAGTCAGAATTAAAAGAGAACCACTGATGATTTATGCGAATTTATCTGATTGATTACATCCATGTTTCGGTAAAACACTGTGGTCACGCATCTTGAGTATTACCCAAGGGTACTGTCCGACTGTCGAGAATGCAGTGAGTTTAGTTGGAAGATGGCATTATCTTGTGGACTAGTAAGCCAGATGTTTAGTCGGCATAGTTCAGATGTGGTAGACACAGTCATGGTTCATTGAAAAACTAACGAGTGGTGAAGTGTAAGTGATATAAACGGGATCATGTTAACGTAGTCGTGTAAGCTCTTACTAGACCGTCTGTTTAGAGGCTCAAACCAACCACTAATTTACTATTTACACGAAAGTTAAATACAGAATCGTGTCGATGTCTGTTATGAAGCAAAGACAATTTGTTCAATGATGACTCGTCAGCCATAAACACTATCTGTTATCTAAGGTTGTTGTGTGTGGCTACTGTCTGATGATTTTGCCACTCATTCAACTGATCGATTACATTTCTTGTTACTCTTGTTAGATAAATTCAGTTGATCCAGTTGTATAAAATAGGTGACAAATAGTTTCAATTTATGATTGGCAGTAATTATCATCGCTATCATCATGTTGGCTTGTAGTAGTAGTTTTATCTGTCAACTGTCGGTATTACTGCCACAATGGTCATAAGTACATTGAATTTATTTATCTCCTACTTACAACAACGATATTTGCTGTGCTGCATTTTGATTGTACAAAACGTCGTGTGAATATATGATTATTGTGCATAATATCATGCTTTCACTGTATATGCCGTATTGTTGTGTACATCTTTCTCTGACTATAGTTAGACAGCGTATTATGTTGCTGTTGTTATTGTTCTTGTGTACTTTGTAACATTTGTGCACCACCTGTTTCCTCCTTAACGCCATTGTTCCCTCCTTGTGTTGCTTCATTTCAAGGTGCTCGTGTGTTTGGATTTGTGCATTTAAACAAAAATATTGGTATTGTCTCTCCTACTGATTCTTTTAATCTATCACCATTGCGAATGATTATCATGTGTATTGAATTGAATTTTGTTTTTTTTGTTTTTATTTTTGTGATACCAATTATTTTGTTCAGTGATTGAGTGTAAACAAAGTAGAAATGTACAAATTACCAGTAAAATCTAATTGTTGAATTTGTATAATGAAGCATAGAATGTATCCTGTTTAGGTACCATTATTGAAAGTGGTAAATATTTTGGTGTGATGAGCATCGTGTGAAGGTAGTGAACAGCAGGTTGCGATGTGCTTTCGAAGAGAGGACAGTTGAGGTGACTGAGTTGTCGTTTGTTGTTGTAGACGACAGAGAAGAAATGCAGTCCCTTCAGTTGATGTGGAATTGCGAATCTTTTCCTCTTAATCGTTTTGCCGAAAGGAGAGACTTTTTAGCGATGATATTGTGTGTACTCTATTATCATTATCTAATGTCGATCGGTCCTTGTAGAATCTCGAATTGGTTTGACTTTGTTGCTCGAAGAAGTTGATAATTAGAAATGAATTTGGGCACATCATCTGCGTTCGAGTTCATCACCACCGTGTAGATGTCACATAGGATAGTGTTATAATGTTTCATCTGATCATGTGTGGTTTTATATGAACTGAGAATAGTTGATGAGGATAATCGACAACTTCTGGAAAGTTAGTATTGATACCGACTGAGTAATCTGTGGAGATATCGATATTGACTGAGTATGTTGACATCTATTGAAGACGAGATGTGTCTTGCTTAGAAGGCTTCTCTACTGTAAGTGTGAATGTTCCCTGTAGTCATATAAGATATTACTTAGCAAAGTGTTGGAGTTTTCTCAACTTTAATTGACCGTCGACATTTCAGTCTTCAATATTTTCACATATTGTCAACTATGAAAGAGTTGTAGTCTGGTTTGACATGAATCACTGGGATGCGTGTGAGTTACCTATGTTTGCAAGTTGGGTAGGTTTTCATTATGAAGTTACGAAAAGTTTTGTTTGTTCGGGAGAGTAATAAGTGAAGTAGCTACACCAACCGTTTGTGTGCGTAATCACATTGACTACCAAGACTAAATGATCGAAGTAAGTGTGAATCACTCATACGTTGACTTGTTTCACTTCACTGTGTATTAATTGTTCTGTGTTTTTACTATTTGTATAGTCGAAGCCCTTGCCAACTCTGAAAGATGCAGATTTTCTAACAGATTTGTGCAAAATGCATATTGGTGAAGAGTCTAAAAAGAAGATGTTAAGTACTCTGGAATGTGATATACAAGTAGGTGCTTGCTTGCTTGTTTCATTGATTGATTGATTGGTTGAGTGCATGATGCATGTGTTTAACCATTATGTTGTCGGTTTTGTGTAGATTGATTTTTCAAGTATGTGACAGATTTTCGAAGGTGTATTGCAGTTATATTCTGTGTATACTGCCAGTTGGAAATGAGTCGTAATTGTCAAGTGAATGAATAGGAACACTGACTGACCGTGTGTTCATATTCTGTTGCGAAGTGTGTAGAGTTTATGATTGGTAGTGGTGTGACAGTTTCACATTTAAATGGTTACTTTCAGTAAGACAAGATCACATGTAGTGCTTGTGTACTATTGAAGTAGTCATGTCATTGGTACTTAAGAAAGAATCGAAATTTCACATATGTTGAGAATATGTTTTACTTTGTTCCTGACAATGAATTCCACACTTGGATGCACTTTCCTACAATCGACTGTGCCATCTTCATCACCACTCTAATCTTCGTCATAATCATAATCATAGTTACTCCCCTCACCTTCATGTGACTAGTTGATTTTACTGTGTCATAATTATGACATTTTCTTCTTTAGTGTTGTTTGATGGGAGTTTCCTATTGAAGATATTTACAGTTATTGTGATTCGAGAGTACAGTATGCTGGTTATCGTTACGTGTTATTATTAATCCATAGTATGGTGATATTTGCCGTTTGTAAAACATTTGGCCGTCAGATAAACCATTGACTTCGTACATGACCCTGATGAGATTGGCTTAGTAGATTTCATATAACTTAATGCAGTAGAAGAGGTGAGAATTTTGTGCCAGTGTATGCAAAGGTCGTGAGCATATTCGTATTCACTGTGCATATTGAGTATGATTATGAGCAGTGGTGTGTGAGTAGTGAAAGCGTAAGAGATGAAAAAGGCATTGTCGATAGGTAACAGTAGATAACTGTTCAGACTTACCAAGGATGTGTGTATTAAAAATCCATCTATTAGTGTGACTAGGCCGGTAAAACTGGGATTACTATTGACTCTCAGTTCAGCAGATTGGATCGGTTGACTGAACACTTTAGGGAGCAGTTCAACTGGCCTTTGTTTTACTTGTGACAATCACAAAGAAACCGGTTTAACTAATGCAGTGTCCAAAATGTTAGCGTTAATGGTTGTTCGAGGCGTCCGACCATTAAAGAATACTGTGTATTCTTAGGTTCCTAGCATTTGGTTGTCGGTGTCTCTGAAGCATTTCTGGTGTATTTTGGGAGGACCGAGTAAGTGATTTCTGTGTTAAGAATATGGTACTAGGTAAAGGTGGAGACTGAACTTTGCGTGGTTGGGACATGTGTTACGTGTGTTCAGTCACCACCGATCTCAACGGACGATATTGTGTGGTGTAGGAATAGTATGGAAGAAAGTTAGAAGTCGACAAACCAAAACATGGCATCAGTCCATGAAGTTGTTAACAATTGGACTGAGCCATGTGAACTGGTGTAGACTGACTGGTTTGGGCCGTATGGTCATTGTAACGAATGGTCATATACTTTGAATGGCGTGGCTGAAAAACATTTGTGATGGCCCAGATGCATCTACTGGTTGTCTGTTCCTGAAAGTTTGAGCTTTTGAGTTCTTTATGTCCTTTTTGTGTTTTCTAATTATCAATTAATTTTCTCTTATTGTTCTGTTGTTCTTTTTATTACATCGAAAGATGAGAATGAACTTGACATTTTATTTTCTACTCTGTATTTTTTCGCCTCTTTTCGCTAATGATGTGTACATAGTTTTATCAATATGATTTCAGCGAGACCTTGAAAAGTTCGCTTCTCTCCTTCTTATTGTTGTGGTTGTTTGTGTTTCCGCAATTCCTATGCTAATCTGCATGCATCACATGAAGGAAACATGTGATGTGGTAACACTACACGAAGTACTGTTTTGTTGTAACACATAGTGTGATGTGTTACTACTGTCTACACCTACACTTTCAATCTTCATTGCTAACGTATGAATTATTGAATTAGTGAATAGCGCGTATCTACATTGTGTTCAGTGTTGTTGTACCGTTGTAGTTTACTTTTAATGTGAGCTCGATATTTGTATGTCGTATTCTGCGTCGTGAAACAGTTAAGTTGTCTGGACATTTTATTTAGTTCTAAATCGTGTTTGTTATACTGCGTAACACTTTCGATTGCGGATTGAAGAAGCTTGTTTGATTTTTGCCAACCTACGGAAACGGCCCCTATATGCGCTGGTACGACCGAGAGTGGGTAGAATCCACTCTTCCTCTCTAAACGCTGTCACATGGTCGCGTGCTTACAACCACTACCATGGAAGTGCTACTCACTGCCTTGTCGTGGCGCGGGTGTTATTTACGAAATTGAGAGGATGAAAGGCGAATGTCCGGCGCTTTAACCTGGTTGGTGGTTATGAAGGATCTACCTAGGGGAGTTGGAGACTTTACGGTCGTGAAATACGACCATTAAGAATAGAGGGTATTCTTAGGTTCCAGTATTTGGTTGTAGGCGTCTTGGAAGCATTGCTGGTGTACTTTGGGAGGAACGAGTAAGTGATTCCTGTGTTAAGAATGTGATACTTGGTAAAGATGGTGACCGAACTATGTGTTCTGATAATAAATGGACAGTAGTTTATCATTGAGTTAATGATAAACAGTTTTTCCATAATCTTGTTTTGGTAACTAACTGTGACTTTTGATTATTGCTCGAAACATGAATGAGCAACGATTGTATTTGAACAGTGACCAGTGTTGTATCATTAGTGCAGTGTATATTATGAAATGATATCTGAGTAGCAAGTGTCGAACGACTGATTTGTGTCATACTGAATAGGAGTTGGTTGAATAGGTAATCAATGTATTGAGTGAATGAATTGACATGATGTGCATTTGATTGTTGATGTCTCCCTCTGGTTTGTGGTAGACCTTCGCCATGGATGTATTGGATTACTTAGTGATGCACAATGTTGTGATTGTGTTTGTTTGTTTTTGTTTTTTGTTGCCTCATGACAGTTCTTACAGGAGAACAATTTGATCGACTACAGCCTTCTTATTGGGGTGCATAATCCTGAGATTGCATTGGCTAATTCAATTGAGGATGCTGGTGATGACGGTGAAGGTACTGGTGGTGGTGGTGTGTTGGAGCCTAACAGTCGAGGCTTCGATGATAGGATGGTGTCTGCAGGTGACGGTCTGGGAACACTTAGCTCACAATGGCAATGTGGTCGTTTGTCGATGGCTAGATCGAGTATTGTGCTTGGTCTGAGCTCGTCAGCAGCTGCCGAGGCTGCTAGTTGTGGTGTTGGTGTTGGTGTTGTTACTGGGAATGCGAGCACAGGTGATGATGACGATGAAGAGGAGGACGGGATCAGTATACCAGAGAACAATACACAAGTCCCTACAAGTATGTGTGATATTGTTATTCTTGTGTTATTGCATTTGTTGTTAGAGAGTTCAATTCGACTTACTACTGTGTCTTAGCATTAATTAACATTATAATTGTAATTGGATTTCATCGACTGACTGACCGTCTGACTGGTTTGTGTTGTTGAATGCTGAGTTGTGTGAATAACTTTGAGTGTTGATCAATCACAAATGACATTGTATGTTTATGCGAATTGTACAATGAGTTGATTGCAAATGGTGAAGTTCTCAGCTGATTTTCCTGAGTGTGTGTGTGTGTGTGTTTAGTGTGATGGATGCATGATTGAACAAACAATGCTGCACACGTGTATACGTACATTTGCTGAGAATTCATTTTAAAACTGATTGCAGTGAGATGTTATTACTATTGTGAAGTGATAATTGTTTGTTTTTTTATTATTATTTTGGAATGGGTGTGTGCATGTCTCTCCCGGTGAAAGATGTTGTTTGGTAATGTTTTCCACTGAATTTGTCTAATCACTCCAAATAGACAGTGCTTATGAGGTATTTCCTTCCAACTGAAGTGGAATGACTCGGTGGTTCTCTCACCTTCCATACTGTCAGTGTGTGTGTGTGTAGTCGTGCATGTATGATGACCTGGATGTGTTGTGTGTTGATGTATTATTCGTACTATAATTTGTATCTTGTTCTACTGTTGATGATTTCAAGTGGCCTTGATGTCAACCTAAGTGTATCCAGTGCGTACAACGATGCCTGACATTGGAAGAAAGGTACGTATAAAGGTAGATAGACAGATAAAAGTGGTAGGTAAACGAAGTGCTGAGGTTGTTTGATACATGAAGTCAGTGACTGTTGAAGTGACCTGTGTGGGGTTGATTGTAGACTCAGTAGTTGGTGCTCGCTTAGTGGTCGTAATGCGCAGTTGAACTGACGTGGTTTAGGCCATTTATCTTTGTGGTCAGCTGAGTGATCATATTGTGCGACTGAAAGTCGATCTTGATATCGGGATCTCGGTGATCTGTTCGCTTGTTTCTGAGAATACTTGTAGTTCCGTTTGTCTGTTGCTCATCTTGTTTACTTCCATTTTGACAATGCTGATGAGAGTTGAGCTGTGGTGAGTCGGATTGATATGAATGCATGCATGTGGGATGATGTACTGTATGTCCATGAATGGGTGATCGTATTGCGCATCACGCGGATGGACTAGTGTTTGCTTGATTGTATGTAAAGAATTGAAGATAGACGAAGATGCAGTTCAATAGTTGATTTGGTTCTCTTTGTATACATTCTCTGTGTTGTTCGTTTCAGGTGAATTGACCCCACCCGATAGTCCACCTGGTGCAGAATGTCTACCTCAATTATTCTCAGGTGAATTGCATCCTACTTTAGAACATTATGGAATCAAAAGTTCAATTGGTAAGAGGATATTTTGTGTTTGTATCTTTGCGATGAAATAGATGATGTTCAGTGAGACTGACTGGATCAGTATGGTGTACGGTAGAAATCGGCAGGTTTTTTTATTAGGCCGATAAATTTAATGACGGTGCAACCAACTTGTGTGGAATAGGAGAGTGAGTGGTAGTGGAAAAATTGTCCGAACCAACACAGTTCGATTGGGTCATCACACTAAAGAAACATGGTCATCGCATTGAGGTATCAGTTATGGTCGGTTAATGTTGTAAAAGGTGGACAGATGAGACATGAGCAGCATGGAGACTGCTTTGTGCACTCCTCAAAGTCCAGTGTAATAGGTAGACACGAGGAGATTCTAGATGTAGACTATTCAATGTTTTGCCATGTGTATTCATCCGGTTGTTCTCTGATATTTGTGTTTATCATAACAGTTTGTTTTTGAATAAATGTACACATGCACACGGCACACGTCATTGAAGATGTAGGTTTATGAAGTTTCATTGGAAGGAAGTCGTTTGAATGACTGATGTTTGAGTGGAGTGCGTGAATGACAAACATTGTTTCAATAGTAAAGATTTTTTACATATACATATATATATTGATGAAATATGTTGCTACTCATATGGATTATGTTGCTGTGTTATCTTGTTTTCCTTGTTGTTTGACAGATTCTCCTCATCCACTGATCTATTTTGTGGCTATTATCGACATACTGACTCGTTATGGGATGCGTAAACGTACAGCGCAAACTTACAAAACAGTGAAACATGGTACTGATGGTGGTTCTGTGAAACCGGAATTCTACGGTCGTCGTTTATTTGAATTTGTTGAACAGTGCATTGACTGAGCGGAATGAGAAGTCTTATTTGACCTGTGTATGAATGTACGCATCGTTCCCTCTCTCTCACTCTCACTCTATCTATCTATCTATCTATCTATCTATCTATCTATCTATCTATCTATCTATCTATCTATCTATCTATCTATCTATCTATTTATCTATCTATCTAACTGTGTATGTATGTTGTTTGCTGTATCGAGTTCCTATGTGTTTGTATATAATGCGTGCATATCCGACTATTCAACTATGTAATTGTACACATATGGTGCTAAAGCATGCATACACACCTACTTACATGCATTTATATATGGACACAGACACGTACACTCTCACACTCATATATATTATGGATAAACAGACGGGCATGGCCGTGTTGCCCGTTGTGGTTCCAGTGTTGAGGAATCGTGATCAGAAACCTTGTTTTTTTCTTTTGTTTTGCTGCATTTTTATTTTATCGAGTACTTATTTATCTTTTGTTGATTACTTTGTGGACACTTTCAAGTGTTCAACGTGTGTATATGTGACTGACTTTTGATTGGTTAGATTGTTTCTTTGAAGAATACTGACTGTGATATTGGGATAGTTGTTGAAGGTGGAATGATGTTTGATGTGAGTGAGTGAGATTGGTGATTCATTGTAAGCAGTGTGATTGTGTTTATTACATGAGAATTTAGTATGATGAAAATGAATAATGAATAGATTGATGTTGTTATATAATGTTGAGTGAGATTAGCGGATTTTAGATTGACAGTTAGATGATATCACAATATTAATTGATTATTGATTTTTTGATATTTAATAATTTGTCGTAGTTAATTGTTTGAATGATGCTTATTATTTCTCGTGAATTGTTTGTTGCATTAATAATTGTATAAAGAGTATAATGAATAAGGTTCTTCTACAGTGTTCTATACTAATTAAAACAGAGATTATTATGATAGTGTGACATTTGAAAGATTAACTGGAGTTCTAGTGGGAAGCCGTTAAAAGTGGTGTTCAACCAGGTCTGTTGTGAGATATCAGCTCACTGAAGACAATGGTATACGGTGGCGCAACTTCATGGATTGGTTGAAGTTAGACAATAACATCGTTGGATGCATGCTTAATGGTCTAATGGTGAAGTGCTCGCGCGCGAACCCAGTAGGTCGTGGGTTGTTAATCCCGCGGGTGCGTATTAGTAATTGTATAAAGTGTATAATGATTAAGGTTCTTCTACAGTGTTCTATACTAATTAAAACAGAGATTATTATGACAGTGAATCAATTACCCTGTAAGATGTTTGGATTGATTTAGTAATCAGTTGATATTGTTAATAATTGATCAATTAATTCTTATAGACCAACTTAATTTTTAATGAGGTCAATAAAAATACACAGACTCTGACATACATAAAGAAAGTGTGCCAGAATTGAAAGTGATGATAATCGATTAGGAGTTTGATTGAAAATAACGTATTTGACTCTGATTTGATTATTTCAAAGAAGAATGGACTTGCGTAGCGTAGATGTTTTCTATGAATAAACAATATTTTCAGTCAGATTGAATGGTAACCATAATGTGAATACGAAAATATTCTAAATGATGCGTAAATCAATGGAGTTTATCTAGTTATATGTGAGACGTGAAACTGGAATCTACAAAATGAATTAGGAAATCAATAAACTTTAATAGAACAAAATTTTCCTTTCAAATAGTTAGATTATGAGTAGTAGTGTAATCGGCGATATATGTGTTTGGTCTGACTTCTGGCTGATCAGGTGGATGTGTCCGTCACATTGAAACTGGAGTTTAGCGCCTTTTTTTTTAAAAGAACGAATGATCCACTGAGTTTACTGAATCCAAGTAACATTTTTAAATGACTGTAGTGTTTATGTCATCGGAAATCGAGTTCTGAATTTCAACGAAGCGATAGTTGAAAGCCTCAATGATCAGACTATGATGAATTCATTTTAATATTTCGAATGCTCACCGACCAACTAACCGCACAGTTTCAAGGCTTTTAGAGATGTTTGCATAATTTTGTTTTTGTAGTAATCACTCGGTAAGTCAATGTTTTTTGACCGAATAAAGATTTTCACTTACGAGTGATGAAAATTATTCATGAAAAATCTTCTCATTAAATCTAATTTGAATAGTATCACTGGGAAAAATCGACAGCTGTTGCGTCAGTATTAGTTGAAGATTTTCTGTGGTGTCATTAGATTGGTTAGTTAAAACCTGCTGAGCTTATCCTTACAGTATTGAAAAGATCGATAAATGAAACATAACACAATGGATTATCACTTTTCTGAGTTCATAGTTATGAAATATTGATGTTAGAGAATGTTGGTTAGTAGATTGTAAGACTTGAATGTAGAGTCGAAAAGTAGGAAATGAGAAATTTCTAATCCATTGAGATTTGTACTAAATAGGTTCAATTTGTCAGTTTATTCACATACCTATTCAGAAGATCATTTCTTGTTATTATGGTTGACCGATGTCATGTCCCAATTTCATATTGAGAATGTCTTTGAACTGTGGTTATTTTACACTAATGGAAATTCACAACTCATAAGAATAATCAAATGTAAGTTGGAATTTTCAATGAGACTAATAATAGTTCACGAGACTTGATTACTAACCCCAAACAAATTAATATCAAAAGACCAGTTATATATCCAGTTTTCTGATAAGAGGATGCACTTTTATCAAAAATAATAAACATAAAAATGAACATAGTGGTGGTTTGGGAAGTGAACGACTCCAGGATATGAGAACTGGAAGGGATTCGCTCTTTAATGAATAGTTATCAGGATTATTTCTTGCGGCAGTATAACACTTTCAGCTTAGTTCATATTATCTGTTCTTACTTAATTTGGCTAGTCCAGACATTCTCTTGTTTATTGTTCGTACATCACCTATTTTATCAACCTTCCAGTTTGAAATAATACATATCGGCTGGTCGTAATAACCACTTTTAATTCTCTAATATTATGATATCTTTCGCTTCGAAAGGATTGTTAGCAACTAAAGACAGTCCAAAAAAGTATATAATAAATTCATAAGGTGAACTAGCTGTAGAAAATACACAAGGTTGTCAATATGAATTGGATCTGGATTAAGTCGATTGAGAAAATCTACAACTTCCTCTAAGTTTGTCACAGTGATGTGTTGAGAATCATCTAATCTAATCATTTTAATGGTTGCAGGGAGTACGTAGCACGGCGTACCCACTTGTGATCTGGTAGAGATATGTGTCCGAACGTCTGCTGGGATGTTTCCATCATCATTGTCGAAGACTTACAGATCTACTTATTTAGCTTATTTATTTACTACTAAAGTTCACTCTCTCACTAATGGAGTATTGATGACCGTAAGACGTTACCGTCCGGAAGTTTAAACCAAACGGCGCCGATAGTGAATACTTATTTGATAGCTCGCTATGTCCTGCAGTATCTTGTTATCTTTCTCCGATATAAGGAGCCATTTAGCAAAACATAATACTAACAATACAAAATGAATCATTTGATTTATCGTAGTCCTTGTCGGTTTTTCCTTTTATTCCAATCCTTTTGAGAAAATGAAAAATAAAGATATAAATGGATGTCAGAACACACTCGTACTTTTGTAAGGAATCAAAATGTACGAAAAAACCGGTAAATGTGTGTACATACCATGCGACAGCGTGAGAAATTCGATAAATGTTTTCTTGGATTTTTTTTATTGAAAAATTAATATACAGGTATATTAGCGTATTAAAAAAAGACAATTTCGTTGGCACGATCATATAAAATATAATATACCAACAAATTTCGTCTTCGTTAATCATCGGGAATGATCTTGTAATCGTTAGGCGTGTATCGTTTAGGAGTAACGACAACGTAATTATGGTTTCCTTCTAAGTAAGCGGCTTTGAGACGGACAATGTTGATATTATTGTTAATCCTGTTCTTACCGTTAGTATTTATTTAGGATTTTGATCCAGAGCTTTGAAGGGATACCATGATGAATCGCGATGTACGAAGACGCTTATACTAAGTCTTTAGGCCGGTTGGATGAGAATAGTTGGCTGCAGTAGAATTAAAACAGGTTTGATTGAACGCATGGTGTTTGTAGGCTTTCTAATCTATGCAGTTTAGATCCACATTCATTGAAGATAATGGATTCTCCTGGAAGACAGTGTCGTTCTGTATACGGGTTGTGACCGAGTGTATCTATTGTCAACTCTCAATTCAATGCGAATACCGAGTGATAATATTGGGACAGCGTCAGTCCATCGTGGTTTGTTCGCAGACGAAAGTAGAGCATTCAACTATCCTTCTGCCAATTTGTTAGCTTGTGGGTAGTATGTGATCGTTTGAAATCTTGTGATTCCTAATAATATAGTAAGACAACGAAAGAGTCCAAATTCGTACTGGCTTCCATGGTCTGTAGTATTAGTTGAAGGTCGGCCGAAGTTTGCTACCCATCGTTCGACGAAGGCCTGGGCCACTGTTTCAACAGTAATGTCCTTGATAGGTACTACATCTAGTCATCATGTGAAACGGTCCATACACGTCAAGATGTAAAAGTGGCCATTTGAATCTGGTAAGGATCCTACCAAATCAAGATGAACATGGTCGAACTGACAGTCAGGAGCTGTGAAACAGTCTAAGGGACATGTGTTGTGTTTGAACGCCTTAGATCTCTGACAGCCTACTGTAGAGCATGCCAACTCCATCACACCTCTATTCATACTGGGCCAACAAATTGTCCTGTTATGAGCTTGACGGTTGCTCTAACACTTGGATGAAAAATTTTGTGCAACGTGTTGAGGACGTTGCATCAGTTACGTTTCGACATGGTCGGAGAATCCCCATCCGTAAATGTGTTACATAGTCAGGTTTCCTTACCATTTATCATCTGTTTGAGTCGGGGTTGTCGAAGATAAATCGTGCCAAAGATCGCTGCTTTCGTTTTGAAGCTGGGAGAGTTTAAGAGGGTCAGTCCCTTGGAAAATATTTAATAAACTTATACGAGGCTAGGCGTCTGTAATTATGTCGTTGACCCGCAAACATGTTGCAAGTCTGAAGCATTCTGCGAGACCAAGTCCAGTTGTGGAGACTTTACATGGAAGTGCTTGTCTGAAGACGAGGTTAGTGGAGAGATCAGAAGTCTGTGATCAGTAAACATGATGAATTATCAATCTTCCACAGTGTTGAAAGTGTTGTACAACACAACATATAACTATGATTTCCCTGCGAGAATTGCTGTATCTTGATTAATTATCTTGCAATTGTCTGGAGATAAATGCCAAACGATGTCATGAGTCGTTTACCCATTGTTGTAAGACTACCTTGATTGACTAGTCGGATGTGTCTACGGCTATACCAATAGGTGTTTTTATGTATTGATTTGAGAGCATAGTTGCTTTTGCGATAATGTCGTTTACTGTTTATAATGATTCTTTGCATTGTCGTTCAAATCGATGATGACAAATTAGCCATTGGTATGAATCATCGATAAAAACTCAACAGGTCGTTAAATGTGCATAACTGCTTGAATGTGGTTGGTTCTAGGTAATCCAGAATATCAGCCACTTTTGTTTTTCAGATAGCAAATACTTTGAGCGTCAACGATATGCCTGAGAAAGTCATGAGAATCGTTTTCTATCTAAAATTTCTGAATATTTACAGTTATTCCATATTTTTGCAGTTATCTGAAAATAAGGTCCATATATGCTGGAAATAGAATTCTTTGTCCGTACTCGCTATCTGACATTTATCATCACATATGTGCAAAATGTTGAGACTCTTAAATACGTTGTCTATGAATCTTTGAAAATTTTCTGCAGGATTTCTTCGGCCGTAGGGTAAGCACAAAATTTCATAATGCCCGAAAGTTAACAAAAACTCAACTTCTTTCACATCTCATATTAATGATT